AGGGGGTGGGTGGGGGCGGTTTCCCGGCACTGGATCCTCAGGGAGCCATGCTGAGGGAGGACAGGACATCTTGAACAGTCCAGGCACCTTACCACAGATAAACAAGGGGCTCACACTGGTGATCAGATGTGTGGGGACCATGCACCCCTCTGTTCACACTGGCCTCATGTAGCCTCACACTTATTTTCAGGACAGAACAGAGCACTGAGGCAGGAGGGGAGTGGTGTCGGTGGAGCTGGGGATGCTGTCCAGACGGGAGGGAGAGGCCGTGTACATCAGATCTGCTGGGGCCAAGGAGGGGGGACAGACGAGATGGCTCCCGGGGGGCCGGAGGAAGGGTGAGGGAGATGTAATGTGCATGCAGAGCCTGCACTGCCCGCAGCCTCTCCTGTCCCTCAGGCCATGTCCTGTGCTGTCCAGGCTCGTCCCCGAGTGCATCTCTCTGACCTCTCAACTCTTACTGGCGTAGGTCACCCTGTTCTAGGCCAGATGCCTTGGGCAGAACTTCTGGGAACTTCCAACCTGAAGATCCGGCTCGCACTTGGGGGAATCAGTGAAGTCTGGGGAGGAGGGCCACACACTCAATGCGCCAGATCAGCAGCTGAGCAGTCAGCTAGGGGAGGAAGCAGAGGAGGGCCTTACAACCCAGGGCCTTAAAATCGCAGCCACACGGGCTGGAACTAGGCCACGGAACAGGGATGGGTGCTGGCAAGCCAATGGGAGTGTGAAGGAACCAGCTGGAGACCTTGAGATGTTTTACAGGGCAATTACCAAAAATGAAAATTCAGTAAATGGCCACAGTGAAGACGGGACGCACGGGCTGGACCAGCAAGACAGAATGCTCCTGGACTCGGCGAAGGGACTCCAGAACGGGAAAGGGTACAGGGGAAGCTGAGTCAGAGGATTCACTGGAGGCCCGGGAGTCACGGGAGACAGACAAAGCCACACGAAAAAGTTCAAAATGATCGAGGCGTCCTGGCTCTCAACGCATCCTTCACTCCATACCCTGCGGGCCTCTCCACCGGCCCTCGTCCGCTGGGACCCCAGCCTCATCCCCTTAGCCCCTGCCTTGCCTCCCCTCCCCTGTTATATCTCCCCATCGAGGCTGAGACCCATGGCAGCGTCAGGGTGTTTTCCCCGACACGGACCCTCCTTTACGCAGAAGAATCTGATGTTAGCTCCTAGGGCTATGCATTTTTTCCACTTTCTGTGCACCCTGAGAAAGAAGGTGCCTACGAAGAAGGGCTCCTGGTGGCTCACTGGGCTCAAATTGAAAACTAAACCAACAAACAACACCAGAGCCTCGGGGCCATTTCTACACAGCCTCTCCCGCACTGCACTTCAGGCAGCNGGGCCTCTCCCACTCTGCACTTCAGGCAGCAGCCTGCCCTCAGCTCCCTGCCTAGCCGAGCCACCTGCAGGTTGAGCATCCTTCCGGCAGGGCTCCTGGAGGCCTGTTTCAACCAATGGGACCATCCCATTGGCTGCACAGCTGTATCCCCATCAGCTTCTTCATGAGCCAATCAGAGCAGCTCCATTCTGACCAATCAGGACACTGTCTTTTGGACCAAATGACAAAGATTTGGAGCCCTCATGGGCATGAGGAGCCACCAATCAGGAAGCAGGGACAGGGACCTGTGTCCATATAAGCCAGCTCCCCTCTGGCCCAGAGACAGAGCTTTTTTTTTTTTTTTTTTTTTTAATTTTTAAAAA